TCTATAACATACATACATATTATAAAACATAATACACATACATAGACAGAAATCAACAAGCTAGCTAGACAGATCACACAGATATAATTAACTAAGCGTCGGACCATGTGATATCTAAGCCACCCCAGTTGTCCTCAGGCACACCCAAGGCTTTCCAGACAGCCTTTGAAGCATCAACAATGTTGTTAGGACAAGGAGGTTGGTAGTCATGGTCAGCATCACATCCCTCAGTAGAGTCACACTCATCCACCACCATGGCCACCACACTGCGCCCATTAGAGCTAATTGTGATGTTGTTATGGCACCTTCCTCCATGGTTGTACCATCCAGTGGACAATGCCACAACTGGTGTGTTGTCATTGTGGTATTTGTTGTCACATTCTGATGGACCGCCACCATCACCACCTGCCTCGAAACTGTTAAGAGTGAGGTAGGCCTTGGTGCTCCCAGACAATGGCGGTGAGCATGTGTAGGTTGGGTACATTTTTCCGGCAACACAGCAATCAGAGTCGTTCTCCTGGTTGCATTGTCCAGCAGGGGCCTTCCTTCCTTTAATCTTACCACTTGGACGACATTGCTGAGCTTCAGCCACCAAGGAAATTGTTGAAAGGAGAATGACAAGTAGGAGAATGGAGCCTTGTGAGAAAATTGCTGAGCTCTTCATTTTCTCTCTATCTCTCTCTCTCTCTTTTACTACTATTGTACTCTTGTGTGGGATGTGTTTGATGTATAGAAAGCATTTGATGGTGGTATATATTGCAATCAGCATACCAGAATACAATTCGCTATTCAACATATCATTCGCTACGCACAATATGGATCATACACTCCATAAACGTGACGGACTTGGCCTATTGGCCTGAATCATTTAAAAATAAATCCTCCCCAATTATGCGAAGCGTCAAAATCATAATTAATCCTTTTATTTATGCACATTCTTCTTCCTAAAAGCCAAACGCAATATGATATTCTTGCTAAAATAAATATTTGAATCCATCTGCTGCTAAGACTGCAATGCTGTCCATTATAATTACTGGAGAATTTTCATAGTTACTGCTATAATAATCGATCTAATAGTGTAGAGATCGACCAGACCAGACTACTTTTTTTGTTGAACTTCAGTCAGCCTCAGCCATAAAGTTGAGTGTTTTTCAAGCATTTAGATAGCATGGCTTATGCCTATCATAGCATCACTCACATAAGCCAAATATTTGCAAGTAGCAGACCGTGACAGCAACGTCTGTATTAGTCCTAATTTTAGTCCAGACCCTCGGGCATGGTTATTTTTCATGACATATTTCTATCTATAGTTCCTATTTCTCATTTTTCATTGCAGGAAAGATTGGATATGGCATTACAAATGCTAGTTTAAAATTCTTCAATTTTTTATTTGTACCATGTCAACCGTTGTTTGCACTTGCTTTTTTTTTTTTTTTCAATTACTACTCACAGAATCATGAAAAGTTAGAGTTGGAGGGGCTCCCCTGTTTAGAGTGCTTAAAAGATTTTGGGCATAACGCAAAATCATGAAAAATTAGGGTTGGAGGGTTGGAGGGTTTCCCCATTGAGAGCGCTTAAACGATTTTTGGGCCTCTCCACCCATTGTCAATTGATTTTAGGCTGAATGCTTACATTCTAATATGATATCACAACCATGTGATCTATGTGGTAGACCCAACGGCGCCACATACTCCTATGTCACTTTATAAGAATTGTTGAGTGTTAAGCAATTTCATCCTTCGACGTGAGATACTCTCAACACCCGGTACGTACCTCTTTTGGCCATTATTAAAATTGGAGTTGAACACCCCTCCATACAAGGCAACTCATTTCATATATAAATTCCTTTGCCATGACAGCACATACGATATTATAATCGCCGTTAAGATCCTACCAATCAAATAAGATTCTGTTGAAAAGTTAAAACCGTACGTATATGGGAATGCCATCGTATATGGGAGGAAACTTGTCTTTTGTTGTTGCGCATTGGCATCAACTTCAAGAAGACATAATGTTTTAATATGTCTCCTTCAGATGAAAGTAAAACAAGAACAATGCTTTCTCTAGTATAAATTTTTAAGGATGTTGCTATTGTCTTTAAAGTGTTTTTCACTGGGAGATGGTTTGCCAGAAAGGAACCATTGGCCGTCATGAATTTTATACTGATTGGCCGTCACATGGTGCCTCATTTACTGACTCAAATAAAGATTTCAGCATAGAGTAAATATATATATAATCATACAATCATTAAACTCCGAAGATTTGAGTTGTTCGAGAATGAAACAACAATATATATCAAGCTAACACCCGTGCAGCCTAAAATCATGCGCATGAAAAGGTAGTATATGAAGAGAAATAGAAAGAGAAAATGAGGACTGGAGGCTTTGATATTATGTTTGACAACATATTGACCCCAAAAACTTAGGCTGTTGAAAAAGAATCAAACAATGTATGTCAATCAAATAATAACCTCTGTATTTTAAGGTGCGATATTGGAAAATTGGTTTTCATTGACAATCTGAAATTCCAAACATTTAAGAATCATGCATAATTGCATTGCATATCAGGCCTGGTTAAGCTCATTTGAATCTCTGTCAGTTCTAGGTTTTATTACAGGCTTTTCAATCTCTAAAGATGTAAGGATTTGAAGAATTGTCTCGCATTAATTGGAACCTCAATTTTCGTCAAAAGACTCTTTCAATTTTTTATTTATTTATTGTTGATGGATCTTTTAGTATTTCTGTTAGTGATGAATCATCTAGTATTTGAATCAAGCCATCTCATACAGATCCGAAACAAACAGTAGATACAAAAATGATACGTGCATAGGGTGATATAATCAACGCCCTTGAGAATCTTTTTGACGTATCATTTGTACACAAAATAACCAGCTGTTTCAAGCAGTTCATGTTCTCTATATATAGCCAACTTAGTATCTAACTTCTCCAAACAAACATAAACGAAAGCAAGAGAAGGAAAAAGATGAAGAATCAAATTTTCTCAGGTGCTTTTCTCTTCATCTTAATCATTCTTGCTACAAACTGGAGCACTGAAGCTCAAACATGCAAGCCTAGCGGAAAGATCAGGGGGACAAAGCCTCCTAAGGGACAATGCAACAAGGACAATCAGTCCGACTGCTGCGAAAAAGGTAAGCTTTACACCACCTACACGTGCTCGCCGCAGGTGTCTAAGCATACAAAAGCAACCTTGACCATCAACGGCTTTCAGAAGGGTGGTGATGGCGGTGCTCCATCTGAATGTGACAACAAATATCACTCAGATAGCACCCTTGTCGTGGCTTTGTCAACGGGGTGGTTCAACAAAAGGAGCCGGTGTTTAGCCGACATTATCATCCATGGTAACGGAAGGAGTGTCAAAGCCAAGGTTATTGATGAGTGTGACTCCACCGTGGGATGTGATGCTGATCATGATTACCAGCCTCCATGTCCTAACAATATTGTGGATGCCTCCAAAGCTGTTTGGAAGGCCTTGGGAGTGCCAGAAAGTGACTGGGGTGAAATGGATGTATTCTGGTCTGATGCCTAATTGAGATGTTTCTTCCATCTTGTAATAAAATCAGTGTGAGAGGTTAATTGGGTTTGTTAGCTCATACTTGATAGTGTTAAGAATGTGAGGCTGCCTGCACTTTGATTATCTCTAATTTCTTCTTTCCTCTATTTCCAAGTTGCTGGTGTATCGAGTTTTAATTGAAATAATGAAACAAGTAATTTTGTTAAGATATTTGGCACATTATACTATTGAGCTTTCAACCGAGCACCATACATTCAAACAACAGTTGACATAACCAATAGATCCATATCATAACAATATGTGTGACAACATAACATGCTACATTGCCTTGTAGAATAAACATCTCCATTAATCACATATCTTATATATCCCTGCTTCACCAAAAATAACACAAAATACCCTACAAATAAAATTTTTGCACAAAAATCTTACAACGAAAAGAAAAGGCATTGGAGACCAGTAAGCTTTACTTGTTCATCAATCTTTTGAATGTCAAATTTCACGCATAGCTTTGATAAAGTTTAGAGGTAGGATTAAATTTCAGGAATAACTTTGATAATTAAGTTCTATAAGCCTGCTTGCTAGATTCAAAGTTGTTCCCTTTAGGATGCTGAAAGGAGGAGAGTTGTCTAATGGGACTTATTTAGCCTGGGCTAGGTCCAGATCTGACCTCAAATATAAAAAAGAGTAATGCTACACTTACCACATTTTTATCCCATATTTCTATACCACATGATGTGGCATATCCATATTATATGTCACATCAATTAAATGAATTAAGTGTATTTTAATTAAGACAATTAGAAAAACAAATATTTGAATAAATCATAAAAGAAAAGAAAATATTAAATAATTTTAATTGATGTGGATGTCCATCTCAACTGCCACATAAGATGGTATAAAGATGTGGTATACAAATATGATAAGAGTAACATTATTCTATATATAAAAAATGCATGTGTTTGGCCCAATCTAGTTTGGCCTTAGGCAAGATAAGATTTTAGTTTTGCCCAAGGGCTGGGCAAGAGTGGACCCCATAGTCAGTTTTTGGAAGAAGAAGAAAAATGTGGGGCATCAAAAGCTGTTTTTCCAAATGCTTTGGCCTATGAGGATCTGCCATGTGGCGCCTTCAATAACAATTGTCTAACGGCTAGTTGTTGGGCTGTTTAGTTTAGTTTTGTTCTAATTTTTTAATTTTTTTTTTATTATTATATACTCCGAACCCTTTGTACTTGATACACCTGTATAAACTTCCATGGGCCAAATAAACAAGGCTTATTATCAACTATCACATTGCATCCTTAAAGTTTTTTTCTATCACTGATGGTCCTTAACGTTAATATAGGTGCTCTCAAATAGTCCTTCTGTAAAAAAAACTGTTAAATTCAGGGATATAATCATCAAATCAATCCAAAATTATAAAATATATATATAAGTTTCTCTCTCCCCTCTTTCTTTTCTGTTTTCTTTCCTTCTCTCTTCTCTGTCTCTGTCTCTGTCTCTCTTTCTTTTTCTCTTCTTTCTTCCTCTCCCCGAGTTCAGTCATCTATCTCCTCTTTCTTTTTTATTTCCTTCCCTTCTCTTAATCAATAAAACGAACCTGCATATTAACTTTCAAGACATCAAGAGGCGTGATTGCAAGATGGGTAGTGCCAGCACTGAGCATTTCACCAACAGTGCAGAGCCCATAATATGCAGGTGAAAATTCTTCACACAGCCTCCCTTCAACCCTTCTCATGATCTTTCCTTGTTCCCAAACTCTCTCACTTCCAATCTCAAATTATCACATTCCTACAAGCTCCAGGGCCAAGTGGACCAAAACCCATTTCATAGATTCTTCGGTTGGAGCTGGGTCAAATAGCGAGAGAGAAAGAGAGAGAGAGAAAGAAGAAAAAAAAGAAAGACAGAGAGAGAGAGAGAGAAGAGTGAACTCGGTGAGAGTAAGAAGAAGAAGAAAAGAAAGAGAGAAAAAAGAAGAAGAAAGAAAGAGAGAAGGGAATGAAATAAAAAAGAAAGAGGAGAGAGAAGCCTGCACTCGGGGAGAGGAAGAAAAAAGAAAAAAAGAAAGGGAGAGAGAGAGAGAGAGAAGAGAGAAGGAAAGGCAACAAAAAAGAAAGAGGGGAGAGAGAAACT